TAACAAGCTCTCTCTAACACACTAACAATTAGCAGGCTGTATTCAAACAATGGAAAAAAGCCAAAGAGGAAGACAGGAAGAACCTCCTCATCGAATTTCTGAAGAAAAATGTGAAGCTTAGCAAGGTTGATGACACTACTACCATGATAACAGGAATACTAACACCTCCAATGGCTATGGCTGCTAAAAGAACCGTGGAGATTGTTCTCCAGCTGAAAATGATCGAGGCCATTCCAGACGTACTTTTCGTACCATCAGTATACCTCCAACAGTATCCGCAACCATGATGGCGCAACCATTTCAGACGCCCTTTTCATAATATCCGAAAGCAAGGTACAGCTGGATATTCCCACACCATCCCCGTACATCGTTCAATAATTCATTCACTCAAACATAAAGCAAGGTACATTCTGCAATGCCCTTCTGCTTGTACAACTGACGCCAGCAAAAGCCAATCTCCATCAGTTCTGCTCACGGAAAAAGTCCAGAAAACTCCTTGAAGATCAAATTTACTTTCAATTCCAAGACATATACAGTTATGTACATGAGAAATAATTTGGAAAAATAAAGCAATTGAACATCACCTAGCCGACAATCAACCTTATTTCCGCCACAAAAACAGTTCATTATACATAAGAGAGATGCTTAGAAGAAAGCATACACAGACGTCAAGTATCATATTTGATTAGATGTGTAGTTTAGCATAGACTTCCCATTTCTGTCAGCTAAGTTCTTAAAATCTAGTCTAATTTGAATCCAAGATAATTCAACTTATTATATGAAGACTGCAAACCCCATCTAAAGTATCAAACTCAATCACAAAAACTTACTCCAATTTTAAAACTAAATTGGAACCAGATCGATCCATAAAGAACTTACCAAGAACTTACCTTTGAGAGAATTGCATAGATGAAAGAGGTAATATTCAATTAATCAAAGAAACATACTCAAAACGATTTCAAGTCAAAAATCACAAATTAAATAAATAAAATCTTTTGGGTATTGGTTGTCTTAAACTTAATCATGAAGAGGTCAGGGTATACCTTCTCTGTTTATGTTATTGTGTGAGTGGAGCCGAATGGGCTAGCTGCAGCTTACTTTGACAAGTTGGGACTGACAAAAGGGTCCAAATATTAAGGGAAAATAATGAAAATTAATTTTTTGTATTACACACCAATTTCTATTCCAAATACCTTTAATAGGCATAGTGGGAGAATTAGTTTCTAAAAAAATTTCACAAAACACTTTTATGAATTTATATCTAGATAATCAGTGGGTAATAGCCTTATTTCTAGTAGTGTTAGATATTTCCATCTGGGAAGAACAACTTCACATCCATGTTATTAAGCTTGGGTTGTGCTTAGTTTTGTAATGTACGCCTAAATTTGAGAATTAGGTTTGTGCAACCAAGGTGTTCGATGAAATCACAGAGGCAATTCGAGTGCCGTGGGCAGCACTTAGTTGGAGGCTATTCAGGGTCAGGAGATATGGGATGGCTATTTTCTTTATTGTAAAATGAAAATGATATTTGAAACATTTCACCATATATAACTGATGTAGTTATTCTGGAAGGATTATACATCCATACAGAGATAAATGGTAGAACTAGATGGAAAGAAACAGCACAAGGAAAAAACAGAAAGCAACACCAAATGCATATCCTAATAAACTGAGTTTCTGGGTCCCCTACTCTTCCTCCTTTTCATGATTATCAGTCTGATCCTTACAACAATCTCAAGGAACCACTCACGCCTCCTTGAGATCGCTACATCCGCAAGCACCACTCCCACTACCAACCCACTTCCAAATCCTGCCAAAGCAAATTTCCAATCAAGTTCAAATCCAGAGCCTGAATCGTTTTCTTCTTTGGTTGAAGGTGGCAGTTGAGAAGCATTAGGATCTCCACATTTCTTTGGTAACACATCTCCGCACAATCCCGGGTTTCCCTCATATGAAGTGACATCGAATGTAGTAAGTTGGCCTCTATATGGTATAGGACCTATGAGATTATTGTGAGAGACATTGAAATTTTCAAGGAATGTAAGCTGCGTAAGTTGTTGTGGGATCTCTCCTGAGAGCTTGTTCTGTGAAAGGTCTAACGATTCAAGCAGTGTTAAGTTGGCCAAGAATGATGGGATGCTACCAGTGAGAATGTTATTGGAAACATTGAGCAAGCGAAGGCCCTTTAGGTTCCCAATGAATTCAGGAATCTTCCCTTCAAATTTGTTGCTTGAGATATCAACGACCCCAAAGTCTTCTTGAATCTTTGAGTAGTATCTATCAACACCTTTATTTGTTACCATGATTGAGAACGGAAAGATGTAAGAGTCTGATACACCACCAATAGTAAGAATTGAGTTTGTGTCCATATATGTGGGTTGGCCTAGAGTAATAACTCTCATGGGATTTCCAGAAAAGATGTATTCAGATGGAAACTCGCCTATGAAATTATTGTGAGAGAGATCAAGAATGCGCAACTCAGGGAAATGAAGATTCCTTTTTTGTTTCCCGATCACACCATAGAACCCATTATGGCGCATTGACAAAAGTTTCAATTCTGGGAAAGTCCCCAACCAAGAGGGGAAAACATCATGGAATTCATTGTTTGACAGAATAAGAGATTCAAGCATCACACAATTAGCCAAACGCCTTGGCAACTGCCCCTGCAATTGGTTAAGGCTAACATCAAAAATCCTCAGATTGCTTGTGTTGGTGTATGCTTGAGGAAGAACGCCATGAAAAGAATTATTCCGAACATTTAAAACTCGTAGGTCATCGCTGAAGTCTCCAAGACACTCAGGAAGCATGCCACTCAACTTGTTATTTGACAACTCAAGAAACTGAAGAGCACTCAGATCACAAATCAATGGTGAAATCTCTCCAGTTAACTTGTTGTCTAAAATTTCGTAGAATAAGATGCTTGGTTGAGGTATCGGTAGTTGTCCTTGTAGCATGTTAAGATAGAGTCGTAAAACTTTTAGGTTGACCCAGGGAAGGACAAAAGGTGAAGGTTGACCAAAGCCAGTAAGGGAGTTTCCCTTAAGGTCCAGATACTGCAAAGTTTCTGTGCTTATATTCAACATCCATTTCGGCACTTGGCCAGCCAAGTTGTTTCTAGAAAGGTCTAACCAGAACAAGTTTTGTTCATGTCTTAGGAATTGTGGGAACTCTTTTATGTTGCAGGAACTCAACCCGAGAATCCTAAACTTGGGAAGAGTTGCATTCATAGTTCTAGATTCAGTGAGCACTTCCAGTTTGTTATCAGTTAGTTGGAGATGGGTGACATTTTCTAGCTTAAGAATCTCCACTGTACCATGCAGACTGTTAGAGTGTAGAAAAAGGATTCGGAGATCCATAAGATTGAATATTGACTCGGGAATTGAACTGCGCAATCTATTATTGGAAAGATCTATTTCAGCTAGCCTGCTAAGATTACCCAGCCAAGATGGGATTGGACCAGTTAGTTGATTTGAACGAAGATAAAGATAAGAGAGTTGTGTGAGGTTTCTAAGAGAAGACGGGATGTAGCCACTTAGATTGATGTTTTCAAGGTCTAGATAAGTAAGTTTGGTTTGCTTACCGATCCAAGACAAGGGACTGCCACTGAAATTATTATGAGAAAGTGACAAATATGTCAGTTGGGTAAGGTTAGCAAACCAATCAGGGATTGGACCACTGAAGTTGCATGCCCTAACATCCAGCTCCTGTAATGAATCAAGCTTCCTGATTGAAGACAAGTTTCCTGAAATGCTACTGCCACCAAGGATCAGCGACACAAGACGACTGCTTCGATTAAACTCAGGCAAATAACCAGTGAGATCTTGGTTATAGCTCACATCAAAAGTTTCAAGGTCTTGCAACTCAAAAATTCTTGCCGGAAATTTTCCAGACAACCCACAATCGTTGAGGAGGAGAGATGTCAAAAATGATAAATTTGCTATAGAATCGGGTATTGTTGAAGATATGTTTATGAAACTGAGGTGAAGCTTTTCTAGAGTGGTTAAGTTTCTAATGAGGCTTCTCAAATCGGATTCTCTAATACTCAACAATCCTTCATGAAATGGATCCAGATTGAGAGATAGATCAAGGGATGACAACTTGGACAACTGTGAAAGCTGGGATGGGACTTGACCAAAAAAGACAGAGGCAGAGAGGTTGAGGTACGTCAGCTGTGGAAAGTTCCCAAGGGTAGTAGGAATTTGAGAGTAATTGAAGTTATTGTGACCAAGGTTGAGCCTCTGGAGATGAACAAGACGGAAGAGGCTATTGCTGGAGTTGATAGATCCATAGAGACAACTGCTACTAAGATCAAGGCTGATCACATGACCCGTCCTCTTATCACACTGGACGCCGCTCCATGCGCAGCAGTTGCTAGTTCCTCCTTCAGCCAAGTTCCACGATGAAACCTTTGGATAAGCACCACCATCACCCGAAGCATATTCGTTAATAACAAAGCCCTGCTTGAATTGCAGCAAGGCGGCCCTCTCCTCATCATGGCAAGAATACTGTTTTAAAGAGGAAAAAGAGCTAGCAGCCACGACAAGATGGAACAAAAGAAGTTTCAAAAGCACACACATGGACGACCCCATAATATATGTTTTGGAACTTTTGATTTTGGACTTGAATGTAAAGAAAGAATTGAAGTGAAACTGAGGGATATATGCTCAAACTCTTGAGCAGTATATATCGCAATATTCTTCAAACAAGTTGAGGATAGAGATGTAGAAAACCGTGTGCCTTGCAATTTGCATAGACTTGTAGAACAAGTTATTGACTTTGAAGAAGACCAAGTCAAGTCCGCGCCCAACTTATGAACTGGCTCCTTCAGCCGGCTTCCACGATGAAACCTTTGGATAAGCACCATCAACCGAAGCAGATTCGTCAATAACAAAGCCCTGCTTGAATTGCAGCAAGGCGGCCCTCTCCTCATCATGGCAAGAATACGGTTTTAAAGAGGAAAAAGCGCTAGCAGCCGCCACAAGATGGAACAAAAGAAGTTTCAAAAGCATACACATGGACGACCCCATAATATATGTTTTGGAACTCTTGATTTTGGACAAAGAGTGTTAAGGAAGAATTGAAGTGAAACTGAGGGATATAGACTCAAACTCTTGAGCAGTATATATAGCAATATTCTTCAAACAAGCTGAGGATAGAGAGTGGAAAACAGTGTGCCTTGCAATTTCCATAGACTTGTAAGAACAAGTTATTGACTTTGGAAGTACACCAAGTCAAGTCCGCGCCCAGCTTATGAAATGGGGTGGGGTGAGAGGTTAATATGATCTCATCTCATTTCTTATCCTTATCATGTACACTAAGTCAAGTAGTATTGACTACTCTGTTTATTAAAAGTCATCAAGAAAACGACATGCAATCAACTTCAGATTGTTTTGTCCTATGGCAGAATTTTTTTTTTATTTAAAAAAAAAACATGTTTTTACTTCCAAATTATTTATGGTTCTTATTCATTTGGTGGAACTTTGGACATGATAGATTTGGACGATGAATCTGCTGTCCTTAGGAGATGGTATGGTATGGACAAGACTTAATACTGGTGGTGATGATGAATTTGCACCCTCTAATAAGATGGCTGTAGCTGTTGGCAAAATGCCAAGTCAAGGAGACAAGTGAACAACTCAACTATAGTATGATAGGAGTACCACTAATTAACAAGGGGGTATATAGTTGGCAGACACAGGGGCGGAGCCACCTTTAGGCCAGAAGTGGCCCTGCCCTGCCCCTCCAATGTTTTCTAAGTTTTCACCAATCAAGGCAATACATTGTAAAATATTAAAAGAATTTTCCATGTTTGAAGTTAATGGCTACCCTAATAAATTCATTTTGAGTAATAATGTGAAGTTATATTGGCTTTTCTTTGCTGATTTTTATATCTTTCTCTTTCGGGTTTTAGTAGATACTGATTTCTCTTTTGGAAGTACACTAAGTCAAGTCCGCATGCCAGCTTACGAAATGGGGTGAGGTGAGAGGTTAATATAATCTCATCTTTCATTTCTTATCCTTTTCATGTACACTAAGGCAAGTAGTATTGACTACTCTGTTTCTTAAAGCCATCAAGAAAACGTCATGCAATCAACTTCAGAATTGTTTTGTCCTATAGCATAATTTTTTTTACTTTACAAAAAAAAAATACATTTCTTTACTTCCAAATTGTCACTTAATGTCATGATATAATCCTATAATAATCTTAGAACTTATAGGTCCCTGTACTTTGTACTTTGTACTTCTTCCCTATCGACCTAGTTTCAAATTTTCTAGCAAGCAGAATCTAGATTGAACTGAAAACCAAATATTTGTTCTAATGAATTTGACAATGTATGTGCATTTAATGAATTCGCTAATTTGAATGACATGAATTTTTGATCGAGGAGTATTCGAACTTGGGAACTACTAAACTAATAACAACTAGTTCATGAGTGACGAGAATGTGATAATCTCATTCATGTCCCTTGTTACACACTTCCGTTATTATAATAAATTTGATAATTTGAAAATTGTAATAGCATAGTTTATATTTTTCTTTCACTGAAAAAACAATGAAAGTTGTAGTGAAATCATTTGTGTTTTTTCCTTCTTCTTTTTTCAGAGAGCCATTGCAAAGGTTGTCGGTAGTGTTGGACTCGATCTGAGTTGGTTTGGTTTTGGGCTCAACCCTGACACCAAACCGGAGGTCTAGGGTTGGCTATTTTGGGAACCATACACTGAGCCATTGCAAAGGTTGTTGGTAGTGTTGTGCTTGCTCTATTGGTAAGAGGACTTGATGCTAAGGTGGTATGGGGTTTAAGCCATCATGGATGTAATTTTTTTTTGTAACCTATGGTTTGTGAATTGTGACCAGTTTGGTTTGGGTAAACCAGTCAATTTCAAAATATCAAACTATAAACTAGACCAAACCAACCAGTTTGGTTTAGGTTGAAACTGAAATAAAATAAAATAAAATAATAATAAAAACTAGACAAAACCAACTCGATTGGTTTGGTTAATTTGTCAAGTTCTTGGTCTGATTGCCCACCCGTAGTTGTTGATATGCGATGTGGCCTTATAATTAGACTTCGCTCTAGAAAAAGTATAAATGTAAAATAAAATAAAAACCCCAAAATGAAATTGCATCCAACCCAAAGACACAAATTCGGATCGGATCACAATTCTCACAGCATTTGGAAATAACTGAAAAAACTGCAATTCAAAATTACAACCAAGCATTTGAGATAGAAATATTTTGGAACTCTTGATTTTGGACTTGAGTGTTAAGAAAAAACTGAAGTGAAACTGAGGGATATAGACTCAAACTCTTGAGCAGTATATATCACAGTGTGCCTTGCAATTTGCATAGACTTGTAAGAACAAGTTATTAACTTTGGAAGTACACTAAGTCAAGTCCGCGCCCAGCTTATGAAATGGGGTGAGGTGAGAGGTTAATACGATCTCATCTTTCATTTCTTATCCTTATCATGTGCACTAAGTCAAGGATACGATTTTGAAGAGGAAAATGCGCTAGCCACCGCCACAAGATGGAACAATAGAGAAGTTTCAAAAGCACACACATGGACGACCCCATAATATATGTTTTGGAGCTCTTGATTTTGGACTTGAGTGTCAAGAAAGAATTGAAGTAGGGATATAGACTCAAACCCTTGAGCAGTATAATATATCGCAATATTCTTCAAACAAGTTGAGGATAGAGATGTGGAACAACAGTGTGTGATATATGATCTCATCTTTCATTTCTTATCCTCGTCATGTGCACTAAGTCAAGTAGTATTGACTATTCTGTTTATCAAACCAAAGTTGTCCTTTTTTAACACTCATTGTAGAGGAAGTTCCCTATTCATAGTGGGTGGGTTGTCCTTAGTTACTCGGGAATAGGGCGTGATTAATGCAACCTAACACATCAAACGGCAGTGAACACATTTTTTTTTTGTTCTGAAGGCAGTGACAGATTAGACCATCTTGGATCTTTCCCACAACGCAATCACTCTACCCGTATAGTATTTTGGCTCTTGAGCATCCGATAATTTTCCATTATGCTCCGTTTAGATGAAGGAATTGCAAATTACATAGAATTCTAAAATGACGGAATTTCAATTTCTGGCAATTAAAGATTTCTGTGTTTGGATTTATATATGTCGATTTTTGTAAATGACAGAAATTGAAAATATTAGTGGAGAGATCGCCCTTCCTATTTCGATATCTTGGTCTTTCTTCTGCCGACACTGTTACCGGAATATGAGTTCCATCAAGTGCCCCAAGACAATTCTAAACATGAAATATAAAAAAGTGTAAGTATGAAACGTAAGATAACTAGTTGAAAAATAAAATAAAAATCTTATTTTTTTTTTCTAGTTATATAAGTACCTCAAACCACTGCCATTTGCTTCTTTCGGAACTCCCAACAGTACTTGGCTGGAACTTTATGTATTCTTCACTAATTCTCATCATGGCATATAGGACTCTGTTAAATTGCCGACTAATTGTTTCGATTGAACGGTAATAGTCAAAACCAATGACTCTGTATTTCAAGTTGTGAGCAATTATTTTCAAAAATATTGCTACAGATTCTTCAATTGAAATATTTCTTGTTCGAACCAACCCACCATTTTCTTCTAAAATTCTGCATAACTTTTTGAATTCAAAATTGATCAATACAATCAACTTCTATTCCATTGTACATACCGTTCAAATAAGATCGCCTTTCTTCATCCCAATCATGTGAAGGCTCTTTAACACGAAAATTATCATAATACCATTGTACTAGCGTAACCATAAAAGAGATCATTGTACAGACAATAATTTTCCTTCTCTTCACTATAGCACGCTTCTGTCTTAACCTCGTTAATAACATGTTATCAACATTAACAGTAGCCATACTTGTTTATATGTGTGAATTAAACAACTACAGAGCAAGGAAACGATATAGAAAGCAGAGAAGACAAAAATCGATAAACTTGGTAAACAACTACAGAGCAAGGAAACAAAGGGCTCTATTGCTGAAAAGTAGTTTTGCTATTATTTTTCAGCCTTCAGTTAGAAAGCAACACAACGCTGGTTATAAACACAAGGTATTGCTGGTTTATGTTTCTGTGTCATTAGAGTAAGTCACGACTTCCTTTTGGCCTTCCCTATTTTTCCATGAGGAAAGAAGGGTATGAAGCTTAAATTCTTAGCTTTAAGCATCCTAGCTGGCAAATGAATTAATATCATCAATCAGCTTGAATTCAATATTTTCATGTGCAGACACTTTTCTGGTACCTATGGAATTAGAACTAGAAGGCTGCCCTAAGCCAACAGTTGGTCCCAAGCTAAGAAGCAGATACCTTGCTTGGACTGACTAAACAGGACATAAACTATACCCTCAAACCTCTCTGTCACTCTCTTTCTCTCTCTCTCTCTAAAGAATGGGAATGACTATGAGTTTCATGGAATTGGGAGGAGGTTGGTTCATTAATTTCTTTACCATTTTATATAGATTGCATTTGGAGTTTTAGTAATTTGTGTTTGTCCTCTCATTATCTCACAAACTTTGCTTTTCTCTCTCAAATATTTTGTCTTCGCAGTAGTATTTTTCTTTCCTTTTTAGAAGAGGGTCTTTGAATAATTTTATATAACACTTGTAATCATCTTGAGCTGGTTATTTGCATTATAGGGAAGCCATCCGCCGAGATGTTCACTGTTGCAATGGGAACGGTGGTGTACAAGCAGTTCATAGAGAAATATATCAGAGATTTTGAGATCTTCCACATCGCCATTGTTGATATTATCAAGTAAGCGTGTATAAGTAAAATGTTAATTACAATATGTACGATGTTAAAAATAATAATGCAAAATATCTTAATTTAACTCAAATCATCCAAACACTATATTGTGCTTTGAACTTTAATTGTAAAGAAAAATAATGAATACAAATTATAAGCAAAATTTATTAAAAGCTTCTAATCCTTGCCCCTTAACACTAACAAGCTCTCTCTAACACACTAACAATTAGCAGGCTGTATTCAAACAATGGAAAAAAGCCAAGGAGGAAGACAGGAAGAACCTCCTCATCGAATTTCTGAAGAAAAATGTGAAGCTTAGCAAGGTTGATAACAGGAATACTAACACCTCCAATGGCTATGGCTGCTAAAAGAACCGTGGAGATTGTTCTCCAGCTGAAAATGATCGAGGCCATTCTAGACATCCTTTTCGTACCATCAGCAGCCGTGCTGGTGCTCATTTATGCCTCCAACATTATCCACAACCGTGATAGCGCAACCATTTCAGACATCCTTTTCATAATATCCGAAATGTTGGCACTCATTTATGCTAAGATCTCCAACATGATGACTTACAGCTGGATATTCCAACACCATCCCCGTACATCGTTCAATAATTCATTCACTCAAACATAAAGAAGGGTACATTCTGCAATGCCCTTCTGCTTGTACAACTGACGCCAGCAAAAGCCAATCTCCATCAGTTCTGCTCACGGAAAAAGTCCAGAAAACTCCTTGAAGATCAAATTTACTTTCAATTCCAAGACATATACAGTTATGTACATGAGAAATAATTTGGAAAAATAAAGCAATTGAACATCACCTAGCCGACAATCGGAACCCATTGGCAAGATCAAATTTACTTTCAATTCCAAGAAATATACAGTTATGTACATGAGAAATAATTTGGAAAAATAAAGCAATTGAGCATCACCTAGCCGACAATCAACCATATTTCCGCCACAAAAACAGTTCATTATACATAAGAGAGATGCTTAGAAGAAAGCATACACAGACGTCAAGTATCATATTTGATCAGATGTGTAGTTTAGCATAGACTTCCCATTGCTGTCAGCTAA